CGTTAGGTAATGGCTTATTCATTAGGTCCCAGAACTGTTTTTGTGAAGCAGTTTTTTGCAATAAACAAATTGCATAAAAAATCATAAAATATTTGTTTTTATTCTTCCGTTTGTTTGGGTTCTTTGGATCGTTTTGTTTCTTCAGATTCTTCTAATCTTTTAAATTATTCAGCTTTTTTAAGTTTTCAGTATACTCTATTCTTCAGGTTATTTTTATTACATTCTTCTCTTTATTCTCGATTTCCGCGGTGTTCACGCGCTTTCAGATCCTAGAATTTCAAGTTCGGTATTCTGTTTTTCCACGTTCTCTTCGATTTCTTCAGATTCTTTTGCCCTTTAGATCCTCTAAAAATCAAATCCTCTGATTTAAAAGTTCCGGAATGGTCCGATTCCTCAGTTTATTTAATTTGTTCATTCTTACGTTTGTTTGAATGATTGTTCCGCTCATTTCGGTGCTCAGATGTTGCCCACTTTCAGTTTCTTTATATTATCTTCAGCCTAATCAGACCTTTTTACCAATCATGTCGAAGTTTAGACGCAAAAGTAAGAAGAGGAGTAGACGAAAGAAAGTGCAGACTATGTGACAACAGAAAATTCAAATATTGTACATTAATCGATGCGGCGAAATTTTCCTCAATTTACAGTTGATATTCTCCTTTTGAAAATTGGATGATGGAAAGCCTTGTGCAAGACAATTAGACCTTTTGTATCGCGTGGATTTGATAGATGATTGCTCGTTGAATGTGAATATTGAGAGACGGTTGACTACTTAACTCAGGAACAAACTGGGCTTAGTGTATTCACTGGAATAATTATCCAATGTTCCCCAATATGGAAACGTAAAAATTACCGTTATAATCTCAGGGTGTTAACATCAAAAACACTAATTACTAGTCTTTAAATTTTACCGGTTGCCGTCTAAATTACAATCTTATCTTATCTTATTTTTCTTCTATTAACTTTAATTTTTTTCTGTTTCTGGATAATTTCTGCATGCACGGCTGATATTTCTAATCGACTTCTTAATGTCTTCCCTCGTTTCTTCTCTTAAATTATCTTACTTACTGCTTTTTGAAGACACGGTACAAATACTGAAATATTCTATGGTAGTATACACAACTAAATTTTAAACCACCACTCTATGGTTTTCAAACTTTATTTAAAATATGAACCCAAATTTGGGTAATTGAGCGTTACATTTACAAAGAAGTAATGCATTTTAATTACTAGAGCCCCTTTTAATGAAACAGCCCCTCTCGTCCTGGAGCTGCTGCAACGAACGACTGGTCATTATCCTGAACTAATCGCTCTGCTGGACTTCTCTACAAATGACGAGCCTTCACTAGGATACAATTAAGAAATCCCCATGATTTCCACCCAATGCTTTTGTTTCTTGCAATATCACTAGATTCACTACATGATTTTTAGCGCATTTTTTAAGAATTTTTAAAACTTTGAACTACTTTTAGGGGGAAGGTCCTAGAGTCCTGGAATTTTGCAATATGCAGCCTATACCTTGAAGGTGTGCTAGACGGTCATTAAATATCGCCGTGTCAATGAATGGGTGGGGGGGGGGGGGCTATGAAGTATTTCCTGGGATGCTGTTTTTGAACGTAAAACGAAATGAAGTTAGCTTGCTAAACGCAGAAAACGCAATACAGACCGGAGGAATGCAAAAACCGCAAACACATTCACGAGCCAATAGCATAGGAAATCTCAAAGAATGTTTAATGAAGAAAAGAGGAAGAGAAGAAGAGGAAAAAGCAAGGGAATAGTTAGAAACTGAACTAGAACAATTACAAAAAAAAACAGCAAAATCTACCGATCAACAAAGACAGAAGAGAAAGAAAAAACAGGGGAAAAACCAGAAAACATGGAGGAAATTAAAAACACGATGATAACCCTTAACAAGAGTATGATGGAAGACAGAAATGACGTCAGAAAAGAAACAACGGAAATGAGAGAAGAGTTTAAAAAGGAAATACAGAAACTGAAGAGGTAAAATCAAGAGAAGGAAGAAAAATGGAACAATGAAAAACGAGGAGGAGACAATAGACAAACTAGAATGGAGACTGGAAAAAGAGGAAAGGATGAAGAAAAAAATTAAGTTATAATTAATGGAGAAGGAGCAAATAATATTAAGGAAACCGACGCAAGAAATGAATTAAATAAATATTTCTACTACAGAAGCCCGTACAATACAAAATAGAGAACGAAAAATGGGGATTCTAATAAAATGTACAGGGCGGCCAAATAAGAGTGCGAGGTACTGTATCTGGAAACCTGTCCATCGTAGAGGCTTGCGGTAAAAAAATTTATTACTAAAACGGCCACGAGAAAAACCTGCAAAATATTTTTAAGTTTCTGCAATGGCCGCTAGGGGGCGTAACTGCAATCTAGAATCTAAAAAAGTTATTTTTCTGTGAATTCCGCTATATTAACCTAACAAAAAAATGTCCGGTCTTTGAAGTTGACGATAATCTGAACCTTTTTTGTTTGACAATTTTTCCTTTTCCTTTTATCTCTAAAAATGAAGTGGCGGGGGGTATTCAAAGGTTTCTGTAAAGAACACCCTGTATCTTCGAAACGGCTGAGCCGATTTAAACAAAGTCGGGTTATTTCAAAAGAGCTACTCTTCACCTACAAATATTATACTATTTGAAGTTTTGTTAGTTTCACATATCACCGCTTGAGAAAATTAACCATTTCTGCCGGTCTAAAAAAGCCCTCAAGCGGCGATATGTGAAACTAACAAAACTTCAAATATTATTATATTTGTAGCTGAATAATAACTCTCTTCAATTAACCTGAGTTTGTTAAAAACGGCTCAATCGTTTCGAAGATACAGGGTGTTCTTTACGAAAACCTTTGAATACCCCCCACTACTTCATTTTTAGAGATACAGGAAAAATTGTCAAACAAAAAAGGTTCAGATTATCGTCGACTTCAAAGACCGGACATTTTTTTGTTAGGTTAATATAGCGGAATTCACAGAAACATCACTTTCTTAGATTCCAGATTGCAGTTACGCCCCCTAGCGGCCATTTCAGAAACTTAAAAATATTTTCCAGGTTTTGCTCGTGGCCGTTTTAGTAATAAATTTTTTTACGGCAAGCCTCTACGATGGATAGATTCTCAGATACAGTACCTCGCATTCTTAATTGGCCGCCTTGTACAAGTTGGGAGGAAGAAAATGGAATCATGAGGATCAGTAATAGGCTATATTATTCTAAATGAAAAAGGGAAAGAACCGAGGAAAGAACACAATACAGAAAACAAACAAAACAAATCTGGACAGAATAAACAATAGAAAAATACATCAGATAGAATTCAAATAAACTGAATGTGATGCTGCACTAGAAGAAATCCAAAAGGCAATAACTAAAGCGGTAACAGAAAAAAACATCAAAAATAAACAACTGGAAACCAGGGAGAAACAAGTGGTGGAACACAGAATGTAAGGAGAAAAAACAAATTACAAAAAAAACCTAATGGATTGGAAAGCAGGAAAAGAAACAGGCAAAGAGTACAGAACAAAGAAGAAAGAATATAAGGATACATGCAAACGCAAAAAAGAAGAATTACAAAAATAGGAGATACAAAGCATCAAAAACGAAAATGAAGTGTGGTAATTTATAAACAAAGGGAAGAAAAATAAAGAAGGAATACGGACGACATTGAAGAAGAAGAAGGGAAAAACTACTTTATACAAAATTTAAACGGACAGACGAGCTTCAGAGGGGAAAAAACAAAAAGAAGTGAAAAGGAGAATGAAGAAATAGGGGAAGAAACAGAGACGATAGAGCACGTGATATACAGATGCAGCAAAACCAAGACGAGCAAAACAGTGAAAGAAGTATTACAGGAAGATGGAAGAGGAATCGACTTGATGAGAAGGACGTTGCAGAGAAGAGAGGAAGCGAAAAGAGAGGAATAAGAATAAAAATTATGTAGCTATATATTTCTGATGTACTACTTAGTATCATATAATATATGCTATGTACATATCTAAGAGTCCCCAAGCCGAAAGGCTAGGGTTAATAAATAAATAAATAACTAAAGAAATTGTTTTCTACCAACTACCGCCCTACTTGCTGGTTCCTTATCAAAATAGTGGGGAGGAGGGGGACGGTACTCTAATGAAAGATCTCAACAAAAGCAATTAATTTCTACCAACCATAGCCTCCTCCTCGACTCCTTATCTTGATGGGATATAAATAATTCCTTATGTATCATGAACATATTATTGTCGGAGGATAGTACTCACAAAGGGTGATTGGGGCGTGTAGAAGAAATATATCTTTTGGTGATATCATAACTTTACGAGCGAATATCTCGAAAACGCTTTGTCGGAGGAAAGTACCCACAAAGGCAGAATAAATTGTCTGGGCGAGACGTATCTATTGCCGATGTCTTCGTCAAGCTGCCCAAATATACACACTGGTACAATCTCATGACCTACATTAGAGCTAGCTAGCGTTCCTTGTTTTTTTTTTCTGTTAGTGCGAAAAGCCTCTGTTCCCATCCCTTCTCTTGAAGCTGGTGCACGAAATAAGCTTCCTGGGTGGTGGTGAAAAAAAATCTCCTCCATGGGCGCCACTATCTCTGGGAATTACGACTTTAGGTAACTCTACCGCTGCTCTCCTGAATGGTCAAGTGGGCGTTTTCTGTTGCAAGCTGTAGGTCAATGCTGTAATTTAACCAAATCTGAGATTTTAATGTTGAACAGTACCGAATTATTAATCTGGGGGGTACAATCGGATACGATACCTACTTGACGCGGCACCTAATGTACAAAAACAAAATGTCTGCGTATTCCTAGCGATTAACTCTACATAAAAACTTAATTGGAAACCATTGACTTTCAATACGATAAGTTGTTTTAAACGGTACAACAATTTATTAATTAATTGCTTTGAATGGGTAATTAACCTACTTAACGGACTGGCATTAAATTGCAATAGTACACCTGTTGCATTAATTACGTTCTTCTTTTCCAGACAGCCATCTGGTACGGAAGGCACCCGCCGCGTACTCGGACGGCGTGTACATGCTGGCCGGCCAGGACCGTCCGAGCCCAAGGCGACTAAGTCAGCTCTTCATGAAGGGCTCGGACGGATTGGGTTCGATGTACAATCGCACCGCGATGCTGGCGTACTTTGGGCAGGTGGTCACGTCGGAGATCGTGATGGCGAGCGAGAGCGGATGCCCGATAGAGATGCATCACATCGACATCGAGAAATGCGACGAGATGTACGACAAGAAGTGTCTGGGCGACAAGTACATTCCCTTCCATCGCGCGGCTTACGATACCAAAACCGGGCAAAGTCCGAACAGCCCGAGGGAGCAGCTTAACCAAGTCACCAGCTGGATCGATGGCAGTTTCATTTACAGTACCAGCGAACCCTGGCTCAACACCATGAGATTATTTAAGAATGGTTCACTGTTAACGGATCACTCCGGACGAATGCCGGTCCGGAACACCATGCGCGTGCCTTTGTTTAACAACCCGGTGCCGGAGGCGATGCGAATGCTCAGCTCGGAGAGGCTCTTCTGTGAGTATGGCGCTTAAATCTGCAAACCTCTTAACTTTACTACAGTGCTAGGAGATCCGAGGAGTAACCAGAATCCGGCCTTGCTCACGTTTAGCATTTTGCTGTTTTTGTGGCACAACGTGGTCGCGAAACGGGTCCAATTGCAAAACGCGGATTGGAGCGACGAAGATGTATTTCAAAAGGCGAGACGGATCGTCGTTGCTAGTCTACAAAATATCATCTACTATGAGTACCTGCCCGCCTTTTTGGGGGAAGACCTTCCTAAGTATGAGGGTTACCAGGAGGAGCTCCACCCGGGAGTAACCCACGCTTTCCAAAGTGCGGCCTTTCGCTTCGGCCACTCTCTAATCCCACCCGGAATGTATCGCCGCGATAACAAGTGCAACTACCGGCAGACGGCAATTGGCCACATGGCGCTTCGCTTGTGCTCCACTTGGTGGGACTCTAATGTAAGCAGCTCGGCCTTTACTGACGCGTTGTAACCCTTTGTTCCTAGGGAATCCTAACTCACAACACCATAGAGGAGTTGTTAATGGGAATGACGTCGCAGTTATCAGAACGGGAAGACTCGGTGCTTTGCCCCGACGTCCGCGAGAAACTCTTCGGGCCCATGGAGTTCTCGCGTCGCGATCTGGGCGCGTTGAACATCATGCGAGGGCGCGATAACGGTCTTCCCGACTACAACACGGTGCGCGCGTACTACAAACTCAAAAGGGTCACCTCCTGGAGGGAAATCAACCCGAAGCTGTTCGACCGCAATCCCGAACTGCTCGGCTTGCTGGTCGCCACCTACTCCAACAGATTGGACAACATAGACCTGTACATCGGGGGAATGCTAGAGAGTTACGGACGACCTGGCGAGCTCTTCCGGGCGATTATTAGGGAGCAGTTTATTCGATTGAGGGCGTCGGATCGATTCTGGTTTGAAAACTTGGATAACGAGTGAGTGCGGTGGATGGGTGCGTTGTTGTGATTTTCTTCTAGAATTTTTACAGAGGAGGAGGTCGAGGAGATACGTAAGATCACTTTGTGGGACGTAATCGTGAACTCGACCGAGATCGGGCCCGATGACATTCAACGCAAGGTCTTCTACTGGACGGATGGCGATCCTTGTCCTCAACCTATGCAGCTCAACACGACCATGTTGGAACCGTGCAAGCACATTCATGGATACGATTACTTTGAGGTATAGCTTTTGATTGAGAGGTCTCATCGAAAAAGTACGAATTGTTTTGGATTATACGCACCAAAATTAATAAGAAAAAGTGTTTTCCCGAGAAATTTTGGTGCAGTCGATGTTTTGTAAAAAAGGAAGGTTACACACTGCCTTTTTTTGAGCCCCGAAAAAAAAATTGTCTCAGATCGACCCGGAAAAAAAATTTTTATTATAGAATGTGACCTGTAGAATCCATAATTTCAAACAGCTCCAAGATTGGGCTACTAGTTCTAAAGTTACAGCCCTTTAAATTTTCTTTCGAAATTGGTTTCTAGTCTAACTGGATTATTGTCCTCAGTTTAAATTTTGGGAAAATGTGGACACTTTGTCCGTTCCCAATTTCGTTTTGCGGGGGGGTCCGGCACAGTACTGAGCTGAGGATTTGCTAAAAGGCAGCGTTGGTTGAATCTCCCCCCGCTCTAAAACAAAAGTGAATATTTCGGCGGCGAGTTGCCTTGGGGGCGAGTACTCCAAAGGTCTTATTTAAATCGGTACCTATACGCACTTATCGAGGACCCCTTCAAATCTTTGGATTTCAACGCTGTAGCCTGTTGTGCCTCAAGAATAATCATCTATTGATAACGGAACATTATAGAGCCAGTTATCTAAATGACCTTTGAACGGCTTTAAGAGGTTTCAAAATGCTTGAATACCTCGCACAAGACCTTAAATGTTCAGGCCTTATTTTTGAATGTTTTTAAAGGCCTCCAAAGGTTTTCTAAAATCCATCTAATGACTCTCTAGGTGTCTCTTGGTGGCTTATGGAAACACTTCAATATGCTCTTAGAGGCTCTAAAACCCTTGGGGTCTTTTGAAAACCTTTGGAAACTTTCAAAGTTGGTAACGCACCTTAGAGGTCTTTTGAAGGTTTTTGCAAACTTTTGGAGACTCTCAAGGCTTAAAACATCCTAAAGATAAAGTTATGAAAGCCCCAAAGTAGGGATTCTGGGCGCCTTACAAAAACTTTTTTTTGTGAATTTGGTAATGCGACACTTCAATAAAATGAGTTCTTTCGATAGGGCAACGAGCTCGTTTACATCTACGCCTGCGTGTTCCTGGGTTTTGTTCCGATACTGTGCGCGGCCGCCGGCTACGGCGTTGTCAAGTTGCAAAACAAGCGTCGCAGGAGGCTGAAAATTGAGCAGGAGGAGTTGCGGCAACGGGCCGAAGGAAAACTGCCCTACGATAACATCATGGTCCAGGAGTGGTTGCACGCGAATCACAAGCGCCTGGTGAAGATCAAGTTCGGGCCGGACGCGGTGCTCAGTATAGTGGGGCGCAAGGGCGAAAAGTTGCGCACGATCGAGCTGAAAGGGGCCGACGCGATTACGGTCGAGGAGTCGCACGACACGACGCGAGGGAAGAAGAAGCCCTTCCTGCTCATTCGTATTCCGAAGGATTACGATCTTGTTTTGGAATTTGACAGCGTTGGTTCCCGAAAGAAGTTCATCGGGAAGTTTGAGGTGTTTTTGAATTCGTATAAGAAGAATTTGATTTGCACAGAGGTGAGGGTGACGCTGATGCGGCTGGTGGTATGTAATTACTCTTTTAGGTGGCACGCGAAATAATGCTGGCCAAAGCTGAAACCAAAGAGCGAAGGCAGAGGAAGTTGGAGCATTTCTTTCGCGAGGCCTACGCGCTCACCTTCGGCTTACGACCGGGGGAGCGTCGCAGACGTTCAGATGCCAGCGTTGATGAGGAGGTGGTGACCGTGATGCGTACCTCTTTGTCTAAAACTGAGTTCGCAAGTGCTTTGGGAATGAAGGCTGACGCCGTTTTTGTTCGGAAAATGTTTAACATCGTCGATAAGGACGGGGACCTGCGAATATCGTTCCAGGTACCTACTTTAGCTTACTTTGATTCCATATTGTAAGATCTTCCGTAGGAATTCCTAGACACTGTGGTCCTATTTTCACGTGGCAAAACTGAAGACAAACTTCGCATAATCTTTGATATGTGCGATAACGACAGTAACGGGGTCATCGATAAAGGCGAACTGTCAGAGATGCTAAGGTCACTCGTGGAAATCGCTAGGACCACGAGTCTCTCGGACGAGCACGTCACTGAGTTAATCGATGGAATGTTCCAAGACGCCGGATTGGAGCGGAAAGATGTACTGACGTACGCCGATTTTAAAGAAATGATGAAAGAGTACAAGGGGGATTTTGTCGCTATTGGCTTAGATTGCAAGGGGGCCAAACAAAATTTCCTGGACACATCTACCAACATAGCAAGGTGAGTTGCCATTCCATGTTACCCAGTCGACTATTAGTTTTTTTAGAATGACCAGCTTTCATATTGAACCATCCTGGGAAACCGAGCAGAACTACCTGCAAAAGAAATGGAACAGCGTCACGACCTTCCTAGAAGAAAACCGCCAAAACATCTTCTATCTTTTCTTGTTTTACGTCATTACAATTGCGCTATTCGTTGAGAGATTTATTCGTAAGTACACCACGAGGAAGTTGAATCTCCAGTAAACCACTTGCAGATTACTCCTTCATGGCGGAGCACACTGACCTGCGCCATATCATGGGTGTGGGAATCGCAATCACCCGAGGCTCCGCAGCTTCTCTGTCGTTCTGCTACTGCATCCTACTTCTGACGATGTCGCGCAATTTTCTAACCAAACTGAAAGAGTTCTCCGTTCAACAGTACATCCCCCTAGACTCCCACATTCAATTCCACAAGATAGCCGCCTGCACCGCCCTATTCTTCTCTTTGCTGCACACGGTTGGGCACATAGTAAACTTCTACCACGTTTCCACGCAGCCAGTCGAAAATCTCAAGTGCTTAACAAACGAAGTGCGATTCCCCTCAGACTACAAACCCAGCATCACCTTCTGGCTCTTCCAGACCATCACCGGTAAGCTGCCACCAGCTCATTAGCACACTAATCGCTCTTGCAGGTGTTACCGGAATAATGCTTTTCATAATCATGTGCATTATCGTAGTCTTCGCGCACCCAGTCATCAGAAAGAAGGCTTACAAGTTTTTCTGGGCCACCCACACGTTGTACATCCCCCTGTACTTGCTCTGTCTCATTCACGGTCTCGCGAAGTTGACCGGCGAACCTCGCTTTTGGATCTTCTTCATGGGACCCGGCGCGCTTTTCATTCTCGACAAGGTGGTCAGCTTCAGAACGCGCTACATTCCGCTGGACGTAATCGAGACCGAACTGCTTCCCTCGGACGTCATCAAGATCAAGTTCTACCGTCCGCCTAATTTGAAGTACCTGTCCGGCCAGTGGGTGCGTTTAGCGTGCACGGCCTTCAAGCCTCAAGAGTTCCACTCGTTCACGCTGACGTCGGCGCCGCACGAGAACTTCCTGTCGTGTCACATCAAGGCGCACGGGCCGTGGACGTGGAAGCTGAGGAATTACTTCGACCCGTGCAACTATAATCCGGAGAATACCCCGAAGATACTACTCGAAGGGCCGTTTGGCGGAGGTAACCAGGATTGGTACAAGTTTGAGGTTGCAGTAATGGTCGGTGGTGGTATCGGTGTGACGCCTTACGCTTCCATTTTGAACGATTTGGTCTTTGGAACGTCCACGAACCGCTACTCTGGGGTCGCGTGCAAGAAGGTGTACTTCTTGTGGATTTGTCCCTCTCACAAGCACTTCGAGTGGTTCATTGACGTGCTGAGGGACGTGGAGAAGAAGGACGTTACAAGCGTTTTGGAGATACACATATTTATAACACAATTCTTCCACAAATTCGACTTGAGGACCACCATGCTGGTGAGTATTACGCTCTGCTACATAACCATTAATGGTCGCTTTGTAGTACATTTGCGAGAATCACTTCCAAAGACTGTCAAAGACCTCAATGTTTACCGGCCTCAAGGCCGTTAATCACTTCGGTCGCCCCGACATGACGTCGTTCCTAAAGTTCGTGCAAAAGAAGCACAGCTACGTAAGATTGCTGGACGATAAGCATGACGTTAATCGCTGTATTTTAGGTCAGCAAAATCGGAGTCTTCAGTTGTGGTCCGAGGCCTTTGACGAAGAGCGTGATGTCAGCGTGTGATGACGTCAACAAGAGTAGGAAGTACCCATATTTCATACATCACTTTGAGAATTTTGGTTAGACTGCCTTTTTATATTTGTAGTTTAGTTTGATTTATTTATTGTTTGTACATAATATACAATACTTAGATGTTTTTTAATGAAAATTTGTACATAAATTACTTTTTCTATTATGAGGAGCGTTATTGTGATACGTAGATCAATATATTTTTCGAATTTTTGTTTGGTTTGGAATCCCATCGTCGGAATTGAGTTTAACCAATTCTAGATTCTGCTTGTTTAACCCCCCCGCCAATATAGCCAGGGTATTGGGTTGCATTTTCCAAAAAGAGAAGAGCTAGTCGACGAAAAAGACATTTTCCTGTTCTAAATACACTTGTAGAAATTTGCGGTTAATTTCGTACTGCCAAACAGTAAAAAAATCATATCTTCTCCTATTTTCCTTGATGGCGTTTCCTCTAATTATATTTCTAAACTATAATATACTATGACTATATGAACTATATCTATTTTTACACGTTTCTTGTACCTTCTATTTTAGGTAATGGTTTCATTCTTTTGTCTGTCTAATCCATCGTCATTTGTTCGTAGATAGCTTGGTGCAAAGTTTATTCTGGAAATCCTCTTTCCCTCTTCACGGCAATTAATGATGCTAATAAGTTGATGGTAATATCGACATTGGTTTTACGTGGTAGATTACCAAATAAAAGGTCCCACTATCAAGATGTATCGTTAATGTGTGTTGTATGAACGGTATTTTGCAAACTTGCAGGGAGTGCGTTAACATGCAGCCCCGCCAGGCGATGAATCGCTCATATTCTTCAAATAAAGCGGAACCTTTGTGAATGTACCTTGCTCCGGGTTTTTCGGAAGTGCTAGTCTTACCTGACAACTCGTTTCATTGTAGATAATGTTTCCAGACCTCCTACCATCGTTTGGAATATAATTGCCCTTAATAGGCTATTATTTGCCTCCCCCATAATCCTTGAGGGTTACTATTATAAGTAAAATCAAATGGGACATTTTAAGGTTATCAGAGGCTATTATTGCAAGACTGTTAAACAACGAGAAAATAATTAGAAGTTTCTTGTCGGTTCTTCCTGTTCTTGATATGGTCTTGATACCAAACTTAAAGTTACCACGCGGTAGGTTATTTTCCCAAACTAGAATTCACGTGGAGTATCGTAAGTTGTAAAACGTCGATCCAAGATGGTTCTTCTTCTTGGCGGGCTATCTATTTCTATTTTCCTTTTTTGCATACCCTGCTCTTGCACTTCCTATTTTAATTTTTAAAATTAACTCTACCAGCTGTTGGTCCGATTCCGTCTTTGTTCCTACCATAAATTAGCGACTTCACTGTTTTACCGTATGTGTGTAATGTCTCTCCATCTTTCTCTTGTTCATGGCCCATCCTCTTTTTTCTATCAGGTTGAATAGCAATTCCCCTCTCTGTTGCGTTTCTCTTATTTTTCCTTATCCATTATTTAGCGGAAGAGAAAAGCAATGCAAGCTTTATAGGGCAGTCGATGGTGTCCGTCTGTCCCCCTGTTCGTCTGTCCGTGAACACTGTCAAGAGTAATACCCCTATTGAAAATGGGTCAAATTCAATGACGTCACAAACTTGACACCCCAAATCTCCAATGTTAATTTAGTGATCAATATTCTTATTACGCCCTACTATTTGATTGCGCGTCTTTTACCTTAGCTCTACCTGTAACATGTCTTCCATCCATTCCTCTATGTTTTTCTCTCTCTTTTCCTTCTACCATCTCTACTCATGATATAGATATTGCTGTCTGAACCACCTGGTTGCCCAGTATGGCCCACACATCAATACAAGGTACTGAAATATCACGCAGAACAGGGCTAATATTTTTTAACCGCAATAGCTTTTGTTTTGACATCACCAATGGATATATTTCGTGCAGACATCTCAATTGCCCTTTGTGGGTACCCTCTTCAGACAATCCGTGCTTGAGGTATAAGGGAATATACCCGATCACGATAAGAGGCCGAGGGGGAGGGCTATGGTTGGTAAAAATTAGTTCCTTTCGTTGAGACCTTTCATTAGAGTACCATGAAGGATAAAACTAGTTCCACTGCCCTCCTCGCCCTCCACCCCGTACTTTTATAAGAGGACAGAAAGAAGGGCAGTAGTTGGTAGAAAACGGTAGCTTTCGTTGAGACTTTTAATTAGAATACAATGAGAGATAACAATAATTTTTAACCACCACCCCCCTCCCCCCTCAGGCCCCGTCGTAGAACATGTGTTTACCTCCGCCCCCCTCCCCAATTTTCTGAAGTTTAACTTGACACCACTAAAGGCATGTGTATGTAAAATCTGAGACCAATTGGTTGTCGTATGTAAAAGTTATGCACGTTTTACAAAACAGCATCTCAGGAAATAATCCGTGGGGGGGGGGGCCTTTTAAAAAAGCAAATTTTGATGGCCGTCTGGCACACTTTCAAGCTATAGGCTACCTACTGCAAAAAAATCCAGGACTCTAGGACCATTTCCCTAAAAGTAGTTCGAAACGGCAAAAGTGGGTCCGGACGGACAGGCGGACGGGCGGACAAAACGCAAACACTTAAAATATGTGCTAAAAAATGAATGTTGCCCCGCTATTCGTCACTGAAAATGACTTCAAAATGCCACAAGAGCTACATTTACAAACAGTGCATCTTTTTTCACAAACAACTTTCAAATCACACACTCGACTTACCCTAATTACACAAGATGATAAATTTACTGGTGACAAAATTTAAAAACCTATTACAAGCACCATTCCCAATACTACTTCAATTAAATCTAACCGGAACGCACTTGACTGGACGTTATGCGGTTTCCTTTTTGTAGAGATGTTGAATACTGTGGTAGAAGCTCAAAGTTCTAGAGTGCAATAGAGCGTCAAGGACAAAGAAGATCTCTCCTGCTTCTTCTAAAACATCTGTCTTATCACTTAAACAACAGAAATTAAATTGAACACACACGAAAGTAAAACCTTACAAATAATTTTTAAAGATAAAAAATTTTTATAGAAAAAGATAATGAAACATCATCATTTTACAATGTCTTATCTATTTAAATAAAAGCAATAATTTCGCATTTGTATCTAATAATGGTCTAAATTTACTTTAAATAAAAAAAACAAACCATCGATAGAAATTGAAGTTGGCATTGGTACGCACACTCTTACCAACTTAAAAGTAATTATTAAATTTGGAGTAAGACAACCTCACATTTTGGACGAAATAAAGTGAACTTTTGTTTTAATTGTGAAAAAATTAGGGCTTCTGTCGCGACTTTTTCTGTTGAAAAGGTGCCCTCTCGCCATTTTTATTAATTTCATGATCCTACCCGAGAGGTTTACGAACGTCACGTACTACGATTTCCAAAAAATCAATTAGTTGCGCTTCTAATGAAGCCACTCACGACGAGGTTTTCGGATAAGATTAACTGCAACTCATTTAAATAGCCACTGTTAATTATGCTCATTTCAATGGGCAAGATTCAATTCCAACATTCGGTATCCGATGAGGGCGATGGCGTTTGTAGTAGCAGTAACTGGTTAAATAACCATGATGTGGTTCGACGAAAATGGCGTGCTGCTTCTTAACAAAACACGTTCATTATTGATGGTTGTACGGCGAGATCTTGATTCTTGTTCGATCGTTGTTCGATGAATGCAGTTCAGGCTGATTCTAACTCCGGCGGCTCGCGGGCCGCACTTAATAAGTGGAAATATATACAGAGACAGGAGAAATATTTATATACAAGAGGAATTGTAATATATTAATTCGTCCTCATCTTCTAAATGACAAGAGCTTGCGGACGCAGCAAATGTAATTGAAATATCTTGACGGGAACGGTTGCAAACTCGATATATATACAGCTTTTGTTTACGGTAACGGCGGCTAAAACACAACTCTAGAAATTAAATCAACTAGGTACTTTTACCTACTATCTTCAACTACTAGAACCAACACAAATATTTTCGGCAGAACAAAATGAGAAAATATTTGCAAAGTCGAAGGCGAAGACTTGAACGGGACCGATTTGTTAGTGAAGTCAAAATTTCACATACTAATATGTAGTGAACCAGGGGTCGAAAAGAAGATACTTGTCAAGGAAAAGTCGAAGTATCAGGGGAAAGCACTTACAAACGGAATTTGAAAGTGGGTAATACCTCTATATCCACAAAGAGTGATAATATCGCTTAGAGGTTCACTGGATATTTGGACATATCGGCCGTCATAGCACTTTTATTCTACAATAGTGTCGGTACGTTCGTCGTTCTGTAATAGCAATAACAAAAAATCGAGATAATCCTTTTTTCAAAATACAAAATGTTAAACTGGGATCAACTGGAAATTGCGCAAATAGTTCATAGTAGAAATATTCATCAAGAAGCGTGAGAATCATAATCATGATATCTTGAGCAGCTACTTTATCAAAAACTTCAAAATATCTGAACATCCGGCCCTTCTCATAATAGCTTATACCACTTTGACATTTCAAATCAAATCAAATGCTCATGCATAGCTTTGCACGGGTTTTTGATTCTATATCGCGCTGTTACTAACGTACTCTGTATACGTATTATATCTACAGTGCATACTTGGTGTACGTGTCTGTACCTTCCAAAAATAGGTAATCTAATCTATAATTCGACAGGAAAAGGCAATTCAACTTGATTGATTACTACGCAGTTCAGTTTCACGTTTGTCATCGTAAACCAAAGGAATTTCATGTTATGTTTTCTGGATCGAAATGCCACCCCCTCCCCCTTGAAGAATATGCTTCACGCGAAGAAGTCGGAAAGGAAAGAGAGCAAAGCGGGTGAACTGAATGATCGGATGTACAAGTTCTGACAAGGGAGAGGAAAAGGGATGAATATATAAAGGAGCAGGACGAGGTCAGGAACAAAAAGGTGGAAGGGAGACCATCTTGGAACACGATCGCCGAAATGCTCAAGGAAGCGGCAGGAAACACACTCAGAAGACATAAGCTGTCCATGCCACCGAACAGGAAGCCAGCCGTGGACAACCAAAGCAGAGCACTGAAGAGGTTTGGGCGAAACCTACGCAAACCTGAAGCAAAGAAAGAGCTCCGGTAGGCCAGAGAAGAGAAAAAAAGAGCATTTGAACAACATGATATCAAGGAATTCGCCGAGTTTGCAAAGAACATCGCTAAGCTTAGCCCAATCTATAAGCACATAGGAAAAAAGGGGAAACCAAAACATATGTAACAATGACAGCATGGGAGAAGCTTCTGAAGGAGGAACTCTAATGGAAGAGAACGATTACTGGCCACTCCAGCCACCACCCACGAGGGAAAAAATGATGGAGGTACTAGGAAGACTGAAAAAGGGGAAAATGCCAGGGCAGGATAGGATCCAAATTTTGATTCGCATATGAAATCTTGGGCGTGAATAGAAATATCTGACATGGAAACCATCCGAGTTGTACAATGGATTCTAATAAACACAATTTATTCCGAAACACAAGAAATCAAATTCCCTGAAAGAAAACAACGCTTACAATGCTTGTTTATACATATTGCTCCGCACGCAGACGGTCGACAATTAAATTTAAGAAAAAATCTTAAATTACTTGCCGTTTTTCTAAATAATCCGAATAATCTGGTCGTAAAAAGTTTGCGATAACCAAGCGCACTTATCAAAGACACAGAAATGCTCGCTGACAGCTTAAGGAAACTTACTTCTTTTTAATAACACTGAATCTGCTTTGATGAATAAAACCACAAAATTTCGGTAGCTGTTCGGATGGTAGAAAGTTTAAATACGAAGACCTCACTATACTACAACTGCTTCCTTTTTCAAATCGACAAAACTTTTTCCGTAACGAATAACACAACTTTGGTTAACTTGAACCTGCCAATCAACGACGGACTTCACCAAAAATCCCCAGTTCTCCAATATGAAACACACACTTGCGTGTTCGTTGTCAGCACCAGACGTACGTTAATTAATTTTCGCTTGATAAAATTCCTTATCGCAAACGAACAGATGGGTCTCACTTCTAACTAACACCTTATCTAAATTGAATAAATTACAAAAGCGATAAAACAAGTAATTAAAAACAATTCCAAAAGGAAAAATTAGGTAACATAAACCAACGTTCTCTTTGTTCCTAAATAATCCCCCAGATTTACACTAATTATATTGAAATATTCTTATATACGGGTACCGTTGATGTCACCTAAGAGGGGACAATTTTCAAGCCGAGACCGTAAACCTAAATTAGACTCCTCAAAGAATTTTATTACAATTGCGTCAGTATATATTTCCTTTAACTATTTTTGGAACGGGTCACTTTTGCCACCATAACCCCAATACTTCTCCAAAGACGCACCCTTTATACACCGAGTTATACACACGCCGCGGCCCTTCCAAACAGTACCATTCTGTGTATGTATGGTATGTGAAGTACAGGAAAGACTAGATTCCAGAAGGGCCTTTTTTTAAATCTTCAAAATTCATGATAGATTAAGACAGTTTCATTAAAGATACCCAGGAGAATCTTCCAAGGTTCTTAGACTAACAAAATGTAGATTATACATAAAACGTTCAATATGTCGGATCTAAAAACACTTCAAAAACGTTTTCGAAATTGTTAAAGATATTCAGAAAGAAGTCGTATCATTTTCATAGATTCGTCTCAGGCTTCCTTCAAATTAACGAAGTTAGAAGGGTACCATTCCATTGTTTTTATAACGGTACCTATAAAATAGTGGAAAAGATATACCGGGTGATCCAAAGGTAGTGCGGGCAGTTTGAATTTCCCGCGAAACCAGAAATTTTTAAACTTTGTCATTTATTTAAAAACAGTAGCAGATCAATGTGAGAATTAGCCTTTTCGCATTATGGCAACTGTTTCTTTCTACCAAATGATTCGTGCGCATTATAACTACGTCTCATATCATTTATCTGAACAATCGAACCCCGTTACCATGTACAATAGATATCCAAAAAAGTAATGAGCTCATAATCTTTGAGTGCCTGTTAAAAAGATAAAGGTAAGGTATAAAACAGTTTCTTACCATGGTAAGGGCCACTTTTTGATCAGTATGATCGCACTTGGTATTGTCCTTCTCGCTGCGAGCGCTTTAGGTAAGTCCACTTTCATTTATAAAATATCGCTAAGGTCTATTTTTAAATACAGCCGTTCCTGCTCTCCCCCGCATTGTTGGTGGAGGCTACGTGCCACAAGGCCAACTTCCCTACCAAGTATCGATAAGATCGGCAGGAATCCATTTATGCGGAGGTTCCATCATTGACAAATACACTATAATCTCTGCGGCACATTGCTTTCAACAGTAAGTGTCAGTATCATTAGCGAGCGGGTTTCTTTACTTTGTCCTTCTAGAAGCAGCCCGTCGCATTTAACCGTGGCCGCCGGTATCATCAACTTAAAGGATGAGTCGGCCCAAGTGTACGACGTTGAAAGGATCATAAATCACCACCTGTACGACTCGTACTCGAAAGCAAACGACATTGCCATTCTCAAGCTAAGGCAGTCGATTCAGTTTAGCAGTACGGTCAGCATAATTGATTTGGAGCAAACCAGACTATCGGAAGGAATTCCTTGCACCGCCAGTGGTTGGGGTGACACCTACCCCGGACACCCCACCGATGACTTGAAGTACGTGTACCTGTACAGCATCTCCGACGAGAAATGCAAAGAGTCCTGGCCTATGAAGACCGAGTCGCAATTGTGCACGTTCCTAAGTGAAGGCCAAGGCACGTGCTTCGGCGATTCCGGCGGTCCATTGGCCGCGAACGGAAGATTAGTTGGACTCGTCTCGTATGGATCACCTTGCGCCGTTGGCATGCCAGATGTTTTCACAAGGATTTCGTCTTACATCGATTGGACTCGAGGATACATGGGTTAGTGTACCAACTTAGCAGAATATTAAATGGTTTCACATTGTGTATACTTTTTTTCTTACTCTACTTACGCAACAAACGCAAGGCTGGAGGCTTTAAAGAAAGTTCAAAGGGCTGTTACTTTTGAACTAGTAGCGCAGTCTTGGAACTGTTTGAAATTATGGATTCTACAGGCCACATTCTATAAGAAAATTTTTTTCTGTGTCGATCTGAGACAATTTTTTTTTGCGGGCCTCAAAAAAAGGCAGTGTATAACCTTCCTTTTTTACAAAAAATCGACTACACCAAAATTTCTCGGGAAAACACTTTTTCTTATTAATTTTGGTGCGTAGAATCCAAAAAATTCGCACTTTTTCGATCAAACTTCTCAATCAAAAGTTATAGACTAGAAACTAATTTCGAAAGAAAATTCAAAGGGCTGTAACTTTTGAATCAGTAGCCCAATCTTGGAACTGTTTGAAGTTATGGATTCTACAGGCCACATTCTATAAGAAAATTTTTTTCAGGGTCGATCTGAGACAATGTTTTTTGCGTGCCTCAAAAAAACGCAGTGTATAACCTTCCTTTTTTGCCAAAAATCGACTACACCAAAATTTCTCGAGAAAACACTTTTTCTTATTAATTTTGGTGCGTAGAATCCAAAACAATTCGTACGTTTTCGATTAGACCTCTCAATAAAAGATTATGGACAAAAAACAAATTTCGAAAAAAAATTCAAAGGGCTGCAACTTTTGATCTAGTAGCCCAATCTTCACACTGTTTAAAATTATGGATTCTACGGGCCAAATTCTATAAGAAAATGTTTTTTTTCCGGGTGGATCTGGGACAATTTTCTTTGTGGGCCTCAAAAAAAGGCAGTACTTTTAAGTTATTCAAATATTTGAGAGCAATTTAGAAATGTTTACTTATTTTTTATTTTATTTATTTATTGTCCCTCTTGTTCTAGGCCCTCAACAGGCTTACGACCAATTACAGAGTAACCCGCATAATGCTTTTTAGAGGTGCCCCTGCAGAAGGTCTTAAGTTGTTCTATACTACTCCGGTATTTACCTTACGAGTTAGGAAAACTGCAGAAAAACCTAATTCGGAGTAGCCGGCAGAATGCTCGAAACTGATCTAAGGAAATTCCCATCTCTGCCACAGATGAAAAATTCACCTCAAACCAGGTTCGAACATCCGACCTCCGGATTTATACCCCAATGCTCTATACCACTGAGCTATAATGCCGGTCGGTTTAGGGAAAGTTTCCATTGTCACAAAATCAAATATAAAAATCCGATACATATGAATACCAAACTCGAAAGTCTACGTAACTTAAAAACAATAGGGACCTTTCTTATATCCTTAAGACCATGTGTACCAATTTTCAAAGCGATCGCACGTTTCTAAACAAGTTATCATGCACACGGACAAACGGATGGTCAAAAATGGATCTGTTCCAAAATCGCTAGTTTTAGTTACAGAACACTGCGGTAGCTCCTGATCCTAGCGATTTTGTGGTCCCCTCGGTCATAGACGTAACGTCAATGATCAACCTCGGTTTATGCGTTTGCTGACCATATACTAATCTATCTGCCAAAAGCAAACGACCTTCCTGATTGGCTAAATTTAAGGAAATGGTATAATTTGGGGGTACCAATTTTCCTTTTTACCACGGTTAGACACATATATTAGGAAGTAAAAAAACCATGATTGCCATCTCAAAGTGGTAGCTAATAGAAATGGCGGCCAATCCAAGATGGCGGATGTTGAGTTTTATAAAATCAACTATATCTCTAGAGCTACTGGTCCGATTTCATCATTTTCTTAAATGAATAAGCTTTTGTGTGTGCTACAATATTGTCATAACTACCTTTTTCGATAAAATCAACCAATTAGTAACTAATACATGAAGTAAACGAACTGAATTTTTTTTAACTCTTACTTCGTTACTTTCAAAAGTTTCATATACACTAAAATCTGCTACTTCTTCCTCTTCTTCAGTGACGTTTTCACAAGTTGGCAGTTTGCATGCGCTTGTGCACTTTAAGTTATTAGCATTACATAATGGTAGTTGCCAAGAGCCAGCTTGGTAATTCTACGTGAGGCGATCTGGAAGCCAAACTTAGGGTTATCTTTCATATTTTTGCTGTTTCCGGAATAGCATCTCTTTGATTTTGACGTACAATTTTCCAATGTATTTTTTGTTTTCACATAATGTATGTCCAATTATCTGGCACAATATACACCTTCCCATCAATATTAACAAACTCTTCGCAGACGTTATGGCTAAAAGCCGTATTTGATCGTATTTATTGCAAGACAGTCAGTCTTGTCAGTTGTAAAGTTCTTGTTTAAAGTTAAGCGGAAACGTGTTTCACGTTTTTGCTGTGCTTATCGAGCAGGCGTCGCTCATCTGACGCGTTTCTTTAAGGTTTTCCCAGTACTCGTTAAAGGGAGTTTTTTCACCATTAAAGAGCCTTCACAGTGTACAACAGGTTATCCGATGTATCTCCTAGTTTAGTAAGAGGTGAAAATTCTTGTAATGCAACGTTGTATAACACTGCCTAAGATTGCCTGTATTTTGGAGAGTGCAATTCACTAAAAGGTGAAATCTCTCCACATATGATACATATATTTTTGCATATTTTCACCATCTTCTTGATGTTTGGAAGCACTTATTTTATTTTAATTTTAATTCAATTTGTTGATCAGCTAAAGCTGTGAATACTTATATGCAAAATGAATATCGTTTATTTTTGGTTGTACTTCTTATGAGATTTTGTGTATTTTCGGTTTGCAACATTTGCGATTAAACCAAATTTATTTTTGCATATTTTAGGATGTATTTAAATTTTTGATAGAGATAATCGATTTTAATTTGAATTTTTAGTACATTTTTGCGGATTTTTATAACGGACGCGATCATGAAACATACTGCAATAGCTGGAAGGAAGATTTATTGATTTAATTGATGTTTAATTTCATCATTTCCAAACTATTTTATCTTTCTCTTTCTCTACCGTGTTGATGGGTGATATTGTGGAAGGTTTGGAAATTGTTCCCAATAGTTTGTCGTTTTCTAATGCACCTATTACTTTTGTTGATGTAAAGAGAAGTTTCTCTGCTTAGTGCTTATAAATTAATTCTTAGCGACATGAGGCAATCATTTCGTGCAGAAAACATCTTATTGTTAGTGTTTATCGTAATTCCATTTTTATTAGAAATTATGCAACATATAATAATTTTGCATATGTGTGCATATACATCAAAACTGTTTGCATATTTTTCACTAATATTCTGCATATATATGCGCATATTTTACCATTTATTGTTGATTAATACAGGATACAAGTAGTAAAGAAAATTCGGAAACAAATTTTTAAAAAAACATTTTTTTAAATTACTTATTAACAGTTGATTTTATCGAAAAAGTACCTACTTATAACAATATTTATAGCACATATAAAGAGCTTTCATGAAAAAAAAAGAATAGTGAAATTGGATCAATAATTCCAGAGATATAGTTGATTTTATAAAACTCAACATCCGCCATCTTTGATTGACCGCCATTTCTATTAGCTACCGCTTTGAGATGGCAATCATTGTTTTTATGGCATCCTAGTAAACACGTATAACCACTGTAAAAAGGAAAATTGGTACCCCCAAATTATACCGTCATGTCGACTGGCCCATGGACTATTTCTAGTATTCGCTTGTGCTGGACGTAAAAGTATTTAGTATTCAAATACCTTTGATTTGTGTAAAGTATTTACTATTTAGTATTCAAATACTTTTTGAAAATATTCTGCCCAGCCCTGGATACGATAACCTTTGACTGAAGTTGAATGTGAATGCCGCTAAATATCTATATCACTTTGGCATTTCCCTCTGCGCGGTAAAAAGGAGACTGATTCGTAACGCACTAATCTAAATGAGTTTTAAAAATCAAATGAAAACCTCAAACAAATCAAAATAGGATGTCGAAGGTATACATATATCTCAATATTTTCGATGGGATTAAAAACGCATTGGTAGGGAGGCAACCGTAGTACTGCATGTCCATTTTCTAATTCCATGTCATCAGCAGCACACCGTTTTGAAGGTTTGTTGCTAAAATAGCACATTTAGCCTCGATACTAGAAGTATTACTACGAATAAACCACATTTGCATTGGAAACTCAAAATTTTTGTGCTGTAGCGATGCCTGTAGTTGTTTTCCATTTAGCATTGTCCATAATAATCAGCGATAGTTCTTCTAAATTTGGTGGAAATTGGTCCCCGAAACTGTCTAGTATAATGAATGACGTTCTAATGAGAAAAAACCAAGAGGCGGCGTCCAGAGTTCTATCAAAATGAAACCGAATTAATTTGCATCGCATTTGGAGCAAATACAGCGAGGAACTGGAATTTCCCTGTTCCACTTCCTCCAAATTGGGTTTTCTTCATAAGTTAAACGCCCAATTTTGGAAGTATCTTTTTATATTTTATTTGCCGTAAGTAAGTCGATTATCTTTTGCCTTTTTACCGTCACCAGTACGTTTTGTAAGTATTTTGATGACTGGCCCAGAGAAAATCTCTGTAATAAATGCCAAAGAAATTCATTTTGGTAGCTTTTCCTACGTCCAGTTTTGTCAAACAAGATTTTTTGCGGTGGTTTCATTGCAAATAAGCTTCAACTAGAAAAAGATTCTTTGTTGGGATCCACCATGTCAAAATTCTTTGGGTAGTTCCGGGCTCCGTTTCCAATTGTTGAGATGTGCAGGCGAATAATTCTGTGACTGCAATGTAATGGAGCAACTCGATCCATTGACGTAGGTTACGATTTGGAACGTCATGACCGTTTCCCGCCAAAACGGCAATGACCCTTGATTACCGAACGAGTTTGGAATTTGTGTAATTTATGGCTTCCTCATCGTCGGTCCCGACCACTTTCCCACGAGCGCCCGCTTATCGCGGATTTTTTTAACAACCGGTAAGTTACGCCGTGCCACTTCTGCGGGTTGTTTGTAGAAATTGCGGTTACTTTTACTTTAGAATATTTAATAATGGAAAAATTTATCTCA